CGATTCTGGTCCTTTGTCCGTGCAAAGTTGAAGGCCAAATCCTTGCCCTCGGTAGGTGAAAAATGATGGCTCCATCGCCCAATCTGCCAAGGAGAAAGCGAATATATTCAACCAGTATTTCTATTCAACTTTCTCCCCGGTGGACCGGAATACCAGTAAACCTGATATTGATATTGTATCAGTTGATGCCTTATCTAACTTACAGTTTTCTGTCGATGTTGTTCAAGATGTGCTGGCCAGTCTTGATATAACTAAAGCGGTCGGACCTGACAATATCTCCCCGCTCATTCTTAGGAAATGTGCCGACATACTTGCACCGTCTCTTACCCAATTGTTCAACAAATCAACCACCTTTGGTAAGGTACCTTCAGAATGGAAGGATGCCAACGTTATTCCTGTTCATAAGAAGGGGAATAAAGAATTGGCATCTAATTACAGACCGATTTCTTTGTTATCCATAGTGAGTAAAGTCATGGAACGGTGTGTGTATGACGCCATATTTCCCACTTTACGTGATGTTATCCATCCTCTCCAACATGGGTTTGTCAAAGGTCGATCTACCACCACCCAGTTGCTTGAGGTATATCACCAAATTGGCTGTGTACTGGATAAGGGGGGTCAAGTAGATATGCTTTTTCTCGATTTTTCAAAGGCATTTGATTCAGTGCCCCATACCCTCCTGATACATAAGCTGCAGATGTTTGGATATGGTGGGGATTTGTTAAAATGGTTTGAATCATACTTGTCCAACCGACGGCAAAGGGTTGTGGTAGAGGGTAGCAACTCTGAGTGGCGACCAGTAACCTCTGGTGTTCCTCAGGGGTCTATTTTGGGGCCACTTCTGTTCCTATTGTATATTAATGATCTACCCATCACTGCAGCAAACTCCACTGTAGCACTGTTTGCAGATGATTCTAAATGCTACAGAGAGATTTGTAACGCTGTAGATTGTCAAAAATTGCAGAATGATATTTTCTCTATGTACGAGTGGAGCCTTCGGTGGGGGATGTCTTTCCATCCATCGAAGTGCAAGGTTCTCCGTCTGACACGTTCCAAGAGCCCAATAATTTTTACCTATCATATGTCAGACATCGTTCTATCTACAGTCAAAGATATGAATGACTTAGGGGTTTTGGCCCAAACTGATCTGCTTTGGAACAGTTGCTAGAGCCAATTCAATGGTTGGATTCATCAGACGCACTGTTGGTTATGAGTCCAGCCTTGTGGTACGCAAATCCTTGTATGTATCATTAGCTAGATCTTTACTTGAATATTGTTGTCAAATATGGTCACCTCTGTCTCGCAATCTGATGTCCTTGTTGGAGGGCGTGCAGAGGCGGGCAACCAAGTTCATTATAGGTGCAAATGCCAATGCTTGTGAACTTGACTACAAGGCTAGACTAGCTCACCTCAACCTGTTACCTCTTTCATATAGGAGAGAGATCGCTGACATCATGTTGTATGTTAAGTCCACGGCTAATGTGTACGATTTAGACATGCATAATTATGTTTCATTTTCATCACGTCCAACAAGAGGTAGTAGGTCTCATATGTTAATGCCAGTTCGCTGCAAAACATCAACATTCGCTACTTCCTACATCCCTCGCTTGGTGGCTGAGTGGAACAGACTGGAAGTCAGAGTCCGGGACATGGGGGCTGTCGCTTCGGGGCAGTCCGAGCTTTTAACATTCAAACGGGGTCTTGTCAAATCGCTGACCAAGAGATTTAATGATCATTTTGTTACTGACAATCTCTGCACGTGGACGTCTGCTTGTCGGTGTGCCACATGTCTGGCAATAAGGCCACGGTAGACATGGGCACTTCCACGGCCGGATGTACATGTGTAGAGATCTAGCTATTATGAAATTGTGCAATTATATATATTGTTATTATTGTCTACTTACGATGTTGTGCAATATGTTTAATTAGTTTCAACTATGATTGATTGCAATGTCATTTATGTCTTTGGGGAGGGAGCCTGTAAAGGTGGTCTCCACCTGTTTCTCCCTTCCCTTCCACTTGTGGCAAAGCTTGAATAAATAAATAAATAAATAAATAAAAAAAATTCAAGGGACCGGCAAAAACTGACCGCTATGGCCGAGTGACCACTATACAAAGGTGACCGCTAGTACAGGTTTGACTGTACATGGAAACTCAATGACAGTATTGCTAAAGATATTGAGTTCTTGTGTGTGTAATTCAAAGTTAAACAAAATTGATGCATTTTCTCATTGGTTCTTCTTTGTAGATTAGATAGCTTTTAGACATACTAGTATTTACATGTAGATCTTTGTGGTCTGGTACCTTGGGTGGTACAGAATACACAATGTTTATATTCTATATGTATCTCTTCCCCATTAGAAAGAGCTCATAATACTTCACAATTATAAGCAGTCTGTGTCTATCTAAGTCCAGTCTTATTAGTATTATTCAAGTCGCCAAGGCTAACAATTATTTGAGTCATCACATGCCACCCAAACAGCTTTTTTTTAAAAGCATTTCTTGTTGTATTTGTCACAGGTCCAGTAACAGTCAGTAGCCGTCCAACCTGGCAAAAACCTCAGTCACAAGACCCTGGTCCTCAGAACGACATGACCAGTGGTGAATCTGAAGCCAGTGCTGCTATCCTCGGGTTATATTACTGTCAAAACGTCAGATCCAGGCAGGATGCTGTACAGCAGACAGCACCCAATTTCCTGGGTCAGGACTCCAGCCTAGTCGAGTAAGTCTCACCTTTTTATATGCTGTAAATAGTGTTTGACCATGAGCCTTGGGTACTCTGCTTCTAGCAGAGTGTATACATGTAGCTGCTTTGAAGAAAGATACATAGCTTTTTTTTTACTTTTTACGAAAAAAACTATCAAGAAATCTACATGTAGCCTATGTTAGAAGATATGTGTGTTACATGCCAGATGCTGTGTGTAAGGTTGTAATCCAAGCTTTAGTGCTATCAATCTTGAACTACTGTTCACCTATACTAGCTAGTGTTTCAGAGTCATGTACTAAGAAGATACAAGTTATACAGAACAAAGTCTGCAGGCTGGCTCTGAAATGTTCGTTCGATACACCAGTTGCCAAAATGCACTCTGATCTTGGTTGGTTATCAGTGAGAAATAGATTTGATGTCAGTACTCTTAAGTTATTTTTCAAGATTGTCACCACAAGTGAGCCACAGAAGATCTATAAATCTCTGGTACCAGTTCATGCGTCTCACAGGTATTCCACTAGGCAATCAGTGCACGACTACTCATTGCTCAAACCTAACAACAATAGTGGAAAGAGGATGTTTGTTTACAGATCTGTAAAGCTGTGGAACGCATTACCGAGTGAAGTTAAGACTACTGTATTAGCAGCTGATGAGAGGCAGTTCAGGAAAATGACACGTCAGCTTTATGGAACTTAAAGGCTTACCCTGACAATATTGTATATATTCGAAGCAATTTAGTAACTCACAAGTTTTATTGTTGATTTTAGTCATAATTAGTTAAATGACCTCTGGCCTCAACCTCAATTATTTTAATGTGTAATTGCAATGATTGTATGTATTCAGTGCTTGTATTTTATGTGTTGTACTGTTAATGAGCCCTGGAAGATTAGCCCCTCATGGGGCTAAAGGGCATCTCAATAAATCAAATCAAAATTCAAATCGAAAGAAAGATGTACTCAGATAAGCATCATTTCTTATTGTCCAGGGCTGGAAAAAACACCTGCATATGCAGGTTAGTGCAGGTAAAATTGAAGGTGGGCAGGTATTTCAAGTAAAATCTGTCTGGTGCAGGTAATTTTCCAGTGAAGGTATGCAGGAAAAAGTATTTTGATCCCAGTGGTGTATACTTATTGTTACCCTTTTATACATATGAAATATTTGTGATTTGCAATGACATATCATTACATTTGCTAGGAAAACTCCTTTACTCATAACAGTCTTTTTGTGGTTTCAGCAATTTGTTGGATATAGCACCTGTCCTTATTGTAGGAACTGCCGATGCCTTGGTCTTCATCAATGCACACACTTTTGAAACTACTTCTCTTTTAGACTTCGGGGGTAAGTAGCCATGGACTTGGACTGTACCATTGTAAGTTGTATGTCGTAAGTGGAATTGTGTTAAAACTCCTGTAAGGTTATGAGATGTCATTTAACCTTAAGCATGCTGAAGTAGCCATCTGCATTTGGCTTATCAATCCTCTATTGGTTAGGGGGGAAGGCAGCAGGGAGAAAGTTAAAGGTTGACCCCAACAACACAGCAACGTTCCGATTCCAAGGTTCCTATTTACCAGTGTACTATTGATACTTCATTTGAAGGCACCTTTCAAATACTTGAATATCATTTTGCCAGTTATGTGTGAATTGAAAAAATGTGCTTCATGTACATTTTGTGTAGGTACCATTCCTTCCATTGCTCAATACTCCCTTAGCACTAGAAGCTATAACCGATGCGCGACCAAAAATTTGGCAGATTGCAAATTCTCTACCTTTTGTATGTTTTGCAGTAAATCATAATTGACCATCATATTCCAATCATAATTCCAACCTTGGTTTCTCAGTGATGACCATTAGTAGAAAAGGGGCCCTAATGTTGCCACCATTTCTCCCCGCAGACTATATCCCGTCCATGGTGAAAGACGGTCCGTCCCAGTGTAACATCCCGCTGGCCGGGAGCTTTGCGTTTGGCCAGGGAGCTGACCGGCAGCAGGTGTGGTGTCTGGTGGGCAGTCTGTTCCAGAAGTCAGTGGACGTACTGAGACTGACCGTGCCAGCACACGAGGGTCTGGGCCAAAGGCTGGAATCGCTAAGCCTTTCCTCACCAGTTGTAGACGATGGAGCCGGTGGGGAGGGGGGCACTGTGGAAATAAGCGTGCTCTCTAGGTAGGCTGCGATTAAGTGGATCTCGTCCAAAATATGTCATCATCAGCTTGTCACATTGAATAATACAATTATGGCCCGATTTACACGTGCGTCGTTTTACGCCCAACACATATAAACGACGCACGTGTAAATCGGGCCTATGTTTAAGCTCCTGTCCCTGTCCACCAATCAACTTGGCTGAAGTCTTGCTCCCAACCTACAATGTACTCCTAACCGTGTGTGGTTGGGGTGGAGTTTGGTAGTGTTCTGCAGACCATATTTGGCTATGTGTGACATGATTTCAAGTGCAAGAACCTACATGTAGCACTGTAAATTTTGTCCCCAGACAACCCAGCTCGACAGGTTTGTTTGGGTACAATTCAGGTACCCTTGAACCATACCCTTCTGCTCAGCTGACCTTGTAATGAGTAGATAGCTAGGAATGTCTGCCCACCAGTTCAGTTCCGGCCGGTGTCACTCTTAATCCCACACATCCCTTTTCTCACACGACCCTTTAATAGGCTGATAGCTGGGAGTATTTAGCCACCTTTGTTACATCCAGCTATTGTCACTTTTGATCCCACAGATCCCTTATTTTCCCATTTGACTCTCTACCTCCTAGCTTCTTCAGAGACATTTTAACCTAAAACATGACGTCTTAACTCAAGACAGCTCTCTTGCCCCAATGAGATATACTAGTAACCAGTAAGGCTTTGTTCTATGATTAAAAATGCCTGATTTATACAGTAATATCAGGCCATGTTGATCTGATTGTATGGATGACATCCTTTTGGAACCCCAAAACTGATGCGAGGATGCAAATGTAAAAATAATATTTGCAAAAATAACGTTGCCTTCATTATGAAATCTACGTGGTCATAAAGGTTGAACAAATGACTAAACACACAAAGTATGGTATGGCAAAATAGTAGACGCTTCATTTTCATTTCTTTACATTCATTGTCTTCTTTGCCCTTGGAATTGATTTTGGCATTCTACAACATTACTATCATTTTTCGATTATTTGTTTTACAATTTGCAGCATATATTTGCTCATTTTGTAGCTGCTTTATACACGGAGTGTACGCTTTACAATATATCGAAAACCTTTATTTTGAAACAAATTCATATTCATCCACGCACGGATGTCATCCATATAATCAAATTAACATGGCCTTAGATTGAATTGAAACTTGGCCTGGTGTAAGGAAGCAGACTATGTGCATGTGTGTGTGTGTTAGTGTGCAGCATGGTGCCACAAGTATATGTCTATCCAACTGTCTTTGGTCTGTCAATTCTCAATACATTATGCAATGACCATTCCACAATTTTTCCCACAGCACACCGCTGTCTGAAAACTCCCCACTGAGGTCAGAACTGGTGCCAAGAAGCAAAGAAACCAGCTCAGGAAAGCAAAAACAAGAGGTACACTCAGTAAAACGTACATCACTGTACATGTACATGAAAGCATGTTAGCAGAACGTACTGCGTCTGTGCGAAACCTGTTTAAATGTATTGTGTATAGCACATCATCACAATGTCTCGTTTAAGGTCGTGTTCACATATTTAAGGATGACAGCCCATCTATAATTTTCATTTATTGTCTCGAAAAAGATATTGTCTTCTGATGCAACTTTGACCAAAGTCACTTCTGTTCCAAGAATTTATCATTACTGCGAACAAATAATTCACCAACTTTCTTTTGCACCTGTCGCCACCAGGAACATGCAGTTCCGCGAACATTTTTCTCGCGAAATTTTGCTACCACAAATATAACGTGATTTACAGTATTGACAGACAGAGAAGCCAAATAAATCCTTTGTGGACTTCTTACAGTAAATTTGACCTTCAGCCCAGACTGTGGCCTCTCGTTACATTAATCAGGTAGTCCAGATGGTCTGTAATTTGTTTAAATGGGTTTAACTTGAGGGCAATTCAGGTCACTGTCAGTGACAATTTAGTTCATAGACCATAATAGCTTTCCAAGTGTCCACTATAATTCCAGTGTCTGTCTTGTATATTCTATATATTCTATATTTGTCTGGCTGCTGGCATTGACAAAGCGTACAAAGCAAAATAGAATATACTCTTTAGGAATAGACACCCCTTTTCAGGTTTGATCTGTGAAAAATAGTAAAATCTGCCATGTATCTTTGAGATGTAATGCTGCAGACATTCTTTTGAACTATTCCTTTCATAATTGTATAGGCATCATTATCTCACCAGGTATCTTCAAGTAGTAGAAAATCTTGTTCTGACATATGTTTGCATTACACACAGTAGCTTCAGAAAGTTTATGCAGTATGTTCTACAATTGCAAGGTGGCGCTTCAATACTACTAATTGAAACCTTCTTTCTCTGCCATATGCAGGCCATCTGGCAACCAAACCTAAAGGACAAGTGGGAGATCAGCCACTGACATTCAAAAGTAAAGTCAAGTCCTCAGGCTACACCCAAGCACCAAGGTATCTGAGAACAGATACAAACATTTCCCATTTCTAATCAATTCTTGCCCTTTTTAGTTACAAAATGTATCATTTTACAAAATGTATCATTTCTTGAATAAATGGTATTTCATTTGATTCCCCATACTCTTTGCATGCATAAATTGTAAAGATGTGTTGATGAAGGTTAGACATCCAGGTAAACAATACTCATAGGAAATTCAAACTCTATTACTGGTGACATCCACCACTCAACAGTTCATTTAGTGAGTGGTGGATGTCACTTGAAACGTCTGGAAATTTCCTTTGAGTATTGTAAAGATGTGTTCTGTGTACTTAGAAACAGCAAGAATAGAAATTATACCAAGTCTTTGTTCTGGTTTTGCTTAGAATGAAGATGTTCACTCCAAGCACGAGGCCAACCAAAGGCAGCCCAACTACAAATAGAGCTGGGACCAAGTCTACTGGAGGAGACAGGTACAGTATGTTTACATCTGCACCATATGTATTAGGCCTCAGCAAGTAATTTTTATGGATGACATCAGCGCGCGCATTGATTCTCGTCTGATTTCGGGGAAATAAAAGAAATTTTGTTGCCTTCTGACAGTGGTCAACATGCCAAAAATGGACAAAGACGTCTGTTGCCATGCCAAAAGGTGGATGGAAGATAACTATGAAGAGAGGAGACAAGAAAAGGCTCTGATTTAATGTTTTGTTTCTTACTTTGATGCAGTGATGAGTATGTGATGTGGCTGTGTATATGTGATGTTCCCACTGAATCAAAACCATTTGTACAATGATTGAGTCAAAATTTTAAAATGTAGGAACCTTTTTTTTCGCCCATTCGCATTAGATTTGGAGTCTGTGGAGGATGTCATCCACAAAATTTACTTGCTGTGGCCTTATGGGTAACTGATTAACATAAAATTTACTAGTGTTAGCTTGTGTTACAGACGATAAAGTTGGTATGTCATCACAATGGTGGACCAGTATTTGCACTCCTTTTACGTGTTACCGGGTACAAGAGATGCCATACATTTTTCAGATATCATACTGTCAAGACTTAAATCAGTTTCAGAGGACCGTAAAACTTTTTAAATGGCAAATTGATTACTAGCACTCAGATGTAATTTTGCACTGACTTGTTTTTCTGTAGTAACCGATAAGATGATTTGTTCATTTCATTTAGTACCAATTTGTCTCCAATCTGATTCCCAGCTTGATGTAATTATGTTACGGTGAACCTGGCAACTGAGTTGGTCAAGAACTGTCCTTAACACACTTAAAGGAACAGGTTTCTCATCTTACCTACTCCTCCGTTCCTACTGATTTCAGTTTTCTTGTGAAGAAGACTTGTTCTTGTACTTTTACACATAGGAAGGACACCAAAGGTAAACTATCTTCACATGGTGTCTGCTCACATCAAAGACAACATGGTAAGGCATGGTCTGGTAACCTTCACCTGTAGCCTTGGGAAAACCTGGTGGCCTGGCCTTCAAGAAGGCTTACGGAATTTTCCAGCGTTCACAGAACACACGGCCAGCTGTAGGCGTCTCCCCGTGTATTTTTCTAGACGCCGGCGTGTGATTTGCGGCCCGACGGTGTTTGTAGGAGGCGTGTGTCCGAAAGGGGTTCATGGCAAGGTTGCGTCATGGGGAGCGGGCACTGTTTGTTGACATGCAGAGCCCACGTTCAGGTCCAGGTGCGGATTCAAGTCCAGAGGTTTAGGTTCAGGTCTGGACCTAAACCCAGGGCATTATACAAAATATGGAAGGGACTTCCCAATGGAAAATGGGGCATCTTTACTGCAAAATTTGTAGCGAGTACTGCACTAGTAGGGTTTGGAAGCAAGATGTTGTTTGCGGGGCAGGTCTGAGCACACAATTTAGGGAGGCCGACACTTGCCGATGCCCAATGGCAATGTTTTCTTCATTTTGCTGCACAAATTTTTGACCATTGTAGATTTCAGGTGGTTTAGAACAAAAAAGGGAATGTCACATGATTTTTTTTGTAAGTCCGGAACTACGTGTAGTTCCCTACATTCAGGGTTTTTTTTTTTGGACTTGAACCTAAACACTTATACGGGTTCGGAACTTCCAGCGGTACACAGCACTATTGACATGCTGACTGAACTTATGACTTGTGCTGTGGTTTTTACAGGCCAGGTGTGAGGGAGTTCCCCATGGCCAGCGGACCTCCTGTCAGTCTGCAGAAGAAACTGGAGGCTGCGGAGAGGCCCACGCCCATCAACAACATCACCTTCTCAGGTAACCTGCCATCGCACGACATTGCCGTTAGGTGGCAAGGTCGAGGTCTTATGGTAAGGCCACACCAATTTAATTTGTTGGTCCACGGATTTGCCTGCTTCATTTTTTCTGATCTGGAAAAAAATTTCAGGCTCTGAGTCATTTCCAAAATGCTCATATTTTGGCGACAGCAGTTGAAGGAAGTCCCTTCTCTTCAGAGTTGTTACAGTTTTTCCATCCATCAATGCAGTGGTTTGCTTAAAAGTTTGAAATTCATTGTTTCAATTACAAACCAGCCTGGTATGTTGGTATTTTTTTTTCCCGTCGCTTCATTATTTTAAAATCAGAGAAACAACAAATCAAATTGGTGTGGCCTTAGAATCTTGACTTAGAATCTGAAGGTTCTGGGTTCAAATCCCAGGGAGGGCTCACTGTTGTTTCCTTGGGAAAGGCACTTCATACCTTCACATGTATTTCCTCAAGTGACTCAGGTGTAAATGAGTACCTAGCTTCGGTTAGGGAGACTGTAAGGAGAGTCGCACCTATCAAAAAGACTTGGGGGTCCTTCCCGGTGTGAGTTGTTCAAACCTTACAGTCTGGTCTCAAGTTTGACATCTTGCAGAGGATCCTTCTACAAATGTAATAAACCTTCATAAATGATTTAATTAAAGACGGAATGCCTCTTTGGTCCCAGAAGCTCCATTTTTGGCATCACTACTTGCACCCACTACATAGCTGGTTTGATAACATCGTCCTAGATCATCGAGGAAGAATTTGGGCGTGAGTTTCAATCCCACCCACCCAACAATTAGGATAGACTTTCCCATAAATCAAAATATGCATACTTGGCACACTTGACACAAAATGTTGGAATGTCAACTGCATATCTGAATGATCTCTTGTTATTCGTGCAATGCTGTTTTGAGAAATAAACTCTCGGTTGAAGTCTTGAGGGATAAAGGACCCTCTTATCTCTTCCACACATCAGAATGTTACTCCAGACAATGCAGTCATTGTAGAAGTATTTCAAGTCAAGTCCAACCTTCAGTCTTTGCTTTTACACTGGTAAATCTAGAAGTTTAGTTTCAGAGTTGTTATTATTACCAACCTGGGAGTAACAGGGTAATGTCATATAGGTTAATATTAAAGGAAATATGTTCTGTGATGTCTGTATAACCATTAACAATAAAGTTTTGTCTGTTAAAGATATCTTTGTTACAGATGACAGGTGCTGTGGAACACTTTAAACCTTGTTACGTTAGAACCTTTTAAGGATAGTCTGGTCCTTCCCTTGAAGCTGGTTTTGTCTGCATAACTGTTATTGGAGTGTAGACGTCAAAAGGAGATTCTGTGTAGCGATAGGTTTGACTGGAAACCAGATTGTCTGGTGTGTCTTAGCAGGAGTCAAGGAGGCTTGTCGGAAGCTGGCTAGGCTGTGGTCATTTAAGCGCCGATGAGCCCATTTTGTCAGCACAGAAGCATTCCTAACACTAGAGCAGAATTACTTTGCAGGCATTTTTGGCAAGTGCCATCGCAAAGTGGTCATCTCAGTGCTGATGAGCCCATTTTGTCACCACAGAAGCATTCCTAACACTAGAGCACTAGAGCAGAATTACTTTCCAACGCTTTTGGCAAGTACTATAATTGCAAAGCGCTACAAGGCAAAGTGAGAAGATGAGATTACTCTTGGAAGCCTGACAGACAGTGACAGTCAAGACTAAGTGTAGAAAAGGCTTACGGATCCTTAAGAGACTTAAGACCTGGAACACCACTTAACTCTGGCCAAAGCAGATCCACCAATGTTTCTACTAAGTGTTTTAGATACAAACTGCACTATCTTGTGCACAGTCCGTTCTAAAGAGGATTATCCTTTGAAGTTAAATCCCTGTTTGGAGGACCCATGTGAAGTGTGGCACAGTTATACTGACAAAACAGAGGGTATCACATGGTTGTGTTGATAACATATAGCGGCATGTTATACATGTAACAGTCAGACCAATATAGACAACATGTGCCCATTCACAACTTGTGTCTGTCCACAGTCCAACATGTCTAGCCTATACCAGGCTTCAGAGACAGCTGGAAAGAGTAGAAATTGGCCAGATAGACAGATAACATGCCAGGGGAGTTAGTCCACAAAAGGAGTTAACAGTTTGCCTCTACCACTAGTAGTACCAGGCTTCAGAGGTGGCTGGAAAGAATAGAAATTGGCCACATAGACAGACAACATGCCAGGGGAGTTAGCCCTAAGTCTACTAACTTTTTTGAGGAGTACAGTTTGCCTCTACTACTACCAGGCTTCAGAGGTGGCTGGAAAGAGTAGAAATTGGCAAAAAAGTACAGATAACATGCCAGAAGAGTTACTCTTAGTCCAGTTAACAAGTATACAGTTCAGAATGACAAACGTTACTCCTTTAACTCCCCTAGGATATTATCTGTCTATTTGGCCAATACTGGTACTCTTTCCAGCCACCTCTAAAGCCTGGTTAGAGGCTAGGACATGTCAGCTCTGTGCAGGACTGTAGAAATGGACGTGTACCAGCGACCAGAGGGTATGATCGGTATGACGACCCTGGTCCCCCACAGGTGTTTGTGGACAGTCTGCCCCCTGCGTGCCCCCTCCTATGAACTGATACCCCCTCCATGTTTATAGTCCAGTCATGGGTTAATCAATAGGAACATGGTCTGCTTGTGGCCTCTGACAGTTTGGTGAAAGCCCTGTGTTTGCAGTGATACCCACTTTGCCACCAATTAGCACACGCTGTCCCCCGAGGCAGCAACATCCAGTATGACACTGGTTTGTTTGATATTGGATGTGAAAACAGATTATGTGTTCCCTTAGGGATGATCTGAGTGACACAATTTATTATCGTAAGGATTACCTTCCCTTGTGTGTGCGCTAAACAGTACATTATTGTTGTCTTGTCGTTGTTTTTATAGGATCACCGTCAGTGGTCAGTTGTTTGTTCCTATGTGTGGTAGGATGACTCTCCGGTCAGGGGTAGCCTTTCATGTCCACTTAAGCCACTTGATTTATTTTCAGGTTTGAACAGAAAGGTCATGTGTACTTTTCTTGAGGATGTAATCTGGAGATCTTTGACACCATTTTACAATGTACCTGAAACAATGGTCCTTAGTTAGAGAGTCACCTGTTACACCCTCTTTAATTACTTTATCTTGCGATCATGTATAGACATGTTGTCTGGTACCCTGTGTTTGACCTGCTGCAAGGTGTACAATAACCTTGTGTTGAGGCAAACATAATATGGTATTTGTTGCATTCTTCTAATGGTTTCTATGCAATTATCAACAATGTAGCCATTGTCCTGAATCAACACAGAATGAAAATGTTCCTAAAGAGGGTAATATTAGAGATAGTTGTTATAAATAATTACTATTCTGAGGTTAAAACATAAGCCTCCCTTAGATTTTTTTTCTATCTACATGTATGTCACTTCTCACTGAGCATTAGCATCCGAATTGCCAAGACAGAACATAGTCAGAGGTTTGCGCTGAGGAAAGAATTTCACTTCACATTTAAACTGTCCCTAACCATGATAGTAGTTATCTCTGGAAGATTGTTCCAAAGTTCAACAGTTGATGGGAGATCCTATGTTTGACAGTGGGGGAGTCAGGGATGACCAGAGTGTTCTTGTGCTGTGGTTTTGACTGGCGTGTCACCCTCTGTACCTCTTTATGTTTAGGAACAAGGCCATTTTCATGTAGCAGGGCTGGATTGTCAAATATTTCTCTAATTTTGAAAACCTCATGACTTCCTGTGGCCCTCAATGGTTTTTTAAAAGTATAGGTGTTAAGATCAAATGTGCCCTGTTTAAGTATTTTTGAAAGGCATCTAGATAAAGGGATGCAGACCACTAAAAATAGAGCTATCTGGTCCATGAAGTGTCCTTGATGCATGATGACCAGATGATACCCACAAACCTAATGATCCCTACAGCCTTCCACAGCGTGAAAGGTTAACTCAAAGTGGTCCGTTTAAGGATCTAAAGTTTCATCTGCACACAGAGGTTCTTTGATCACTCAGGTGACTGAAGCCCATCTCACCTGAGGTGTGCAGGTGGAGGTGTGGACAGACGGCACACTTCTGGCTTCCTCATGTCTGCACACAACTCAAGTCAACTGTATCTCACTGTGACAGAAGGAAAGGAAGCTTTCAGGTTATGGGTTTCATGCCCGTAGCCAGGATTTTGAAGGGGGGAGAGGTTCTTTCCACTGTCTGAATGGACCAGTGAGCACCGAGGGTGCAAGTTCCCAGAAAATTTTGAAAATAGAACCTTGACCTTCTGAAATGGCATTTCGAAGGAAAAATCATGCATGACTTTGTATTCAATCATTACAAAGTGAGCAGTTTTTCTACAGTTCCAGTCCCGCTGGTGATACGAATCAGTCCATCTTTTAAAGAAAAATCTTGGACCTTTTATAGATAAAAAGTAGACCTTTGAGCCTTGTGTCGGAAAGGCTACGGGCATGGGTTTGGAAGGTCAAATTGCATTTGGAATGTCTCAGATGTAGTGAATATAAGCATAACACAAGGACATACTACATTTTTTTTATGTAAAGCTCCTTACAATTGATATTTGCTTACACATACATGCACCCAACCTAAAAAATTGGACAAATATTTTTTTGAATAAGATATAAATGTTATCAGAATGTCAGCAAACACTAATTATGTTTCATTTTCTAAAGAAAAGTCCTATAACAATGATTTTATTACTTTTCTGACACTTTGAGAGTTTAAGAATATCATGTATACTACTATGCATTAAAATCTTTGCATACGTAAACCTACAGAAATATTTGGGTGCACTGGTGCACCCACAGAAAAAAAATTTATCATCCCGCTTTTCTCATAGCCATACATAATGTATGTTCAGGTCGTATTCCAGCCCTCGAGGTAACATGATCTGAACTTATGTTCTTGACATGTGAAAACAGGACAATTTACACACAGGAAAAAATTTGATCAATTTTCGTACGCTAAGGTGTGTGTGCAGTTT